TTATCCTTTTTTGGTAGTTAATTGTCGGTGAAATGTACTGTCGGTGAAATAATTGTCGATGAAATAATACGGACCCCAATGTAACATAGCATAATATAATGCGCAATAATATTGTATGCATTATATACACACGTGATATTAATGAGGTATTACATAATATATTACAGTGTGGGGTGGTTACAATATTAGTGTATCACATGACAAATGCGTAAGACTCGACCAATCATATTATTTATGTGAGATCTACCCAATCAGAAAAGAATCTCGCACTGCTGAAAATTTCTCTAATTCATATTAGATTCTATTGAAAGTGACTGAAGAAAAATTCTAACTATTCAATAAATTACTAATATATTTTACAAAAAGAATGCATTGTTTTATAGATCTTATCAAAGGCTATCTAGCAATGCATTTTTTTTGTAACTACATGTCTAGATGCAGAGCCTTTGCAGTTCAAAGTATTGGATGTCTTTAGAGTTCGTGTATTATAGTAGCTTTCACATGATACAATTTATTACGTAAAAAAATTTTGTAACTTGTTATTGTGGTTTAAAAGGCCATGTATATATGCAACTTTTAACGCTGAGCATTTTCTTTTCTTAGTGATCAAAAGCCAGTTGTTATAATAAAAATTCGAGTTATTTTCAATTTCTCACTTGTTTTCAATTTTTATGTTACACTTGATGACACTTGAAATATGATGATTTGTGATGTCATTCTACATGTGCGCGTAATACTCAAAGCTTGATTACTAAGCATGTTAAATCCCGTTATTCTGTTGCACGATTTGTGTATAAGGCAAATAATAAATAAAGTATGTTTAATGACTTTAGTCTGTTCACTAGTTTGAGGCTGTGAGAAATTCTATATTTATTTCTATTTCTTAAGTTTGTTCAGCCGGTTAAATAACGTAAATGAACCATGGCAGAAGGAACTGATTGCCGATTTCGTGGTGCCTTTCAGGTAAGGAGAGAAAGAGCAGAAAAAAAGCTTAAACAAATAAAAAGCTTAAACGAATTCAAAAATCATATTTTATATAGAACGAAGGGGGAATTGACACCTTGCGGTCCAACAGGAAAAACAGTATTTCTAGACAAGTTTCAACCGATACCAATTATTACGCTTTACGATGCTTGGAGTCTCCTTTGGAGTTACGCGCATCGGCACTCAAAGAAGATGACAGCAGAAAAGCAAATCAAATATCTATACGAGAGTCAGGAACGCTTAGAACAGAGTATAGTAATAATACAGCAAGATCCAAAATTGCGTCCAGCAACAGTGGACCTCACACACTCAAGTCAAGTATCGAAACGGAAAGGCAAAGATGTGAAATTCATGATGGGTTCGCAATCCGAGAGGTAGTAAATACAAGGACGGAGAAAATGCAGATATTACGTTGGGAAAGGAACTTGAAGGATGTCCTAACACCGAAACAATTGAAAAATTGCGGGCATCCTTTGGGGAACTGTTCAGAATTGGTTCCCTAGGAGGCGATTGTTGGAAACCGATTGTCCCTCAGAAAACGTGTCGTCTTGTACACGCGGACTATCACTTTACCAGTAGAGGATCAACTGTCGGAAACCCTACAACTATGTCTCAAATGCAATTATGTGAAGGAAAAAGTGGAAGAACGTCGCGTTGCAACGATTCTTTTATCTTAGTTGATGCATTTAAAGATAATTTTCGTATTAGTATTGCAACCTTGGTTGATTATGAAGTTCTTGAAGGTGATCCGAAAAAACTAACTTATCACATAAGATGTGTTGCTGATTTTGGCTTTGAGCATATAATTATTATTGGGAAGACCGATTATGGAATGATCTTTTTAGACTGTTATAGTCGTGTTTTTTTGTGGGAAAATATGAGTCGAACGTTATGGCCACTTGGTGATTCTCCCGAAGAAGCATCGAAACGCATAGTTAAAGGTGAGTTGTTTGAAGATAATTGAACTGTATATGCGCAGATTACGAAATGGAAGATTATTATTAATTACTTATTTGCTTACCAATAAAATGCATGTGTTACATATGATTACGTGACTGGCCACTTTTCACATATACCCATGCCGGCAGAATTTGTCGTTTTTTCACTTTTTCTCGTGTACCATCAGCAACCTACCAATAACATTCCGCCAAAAAATCATATATAACTCAAAATGTCTATTACCCTGGTCTGTTTGGTTAAAGGAAACTTACTTTCGCTGTTGATATTGATAGTGACAAGTTAGTAAGCCACCTCAAGAAGTTTATTAAAGACAAACTTTCGCTGGTATTGACGCCAAATTATGGAAGGTGGAAATTTGACGATCGCGATTCCGAGTTGGCCAATCCCGCATTGCAAGACGAACTTCTAGCAATGAAAAAGATTTCGCTCCCCACCTACCGAAGAATATATTTGTCGTGCATAAATCCCGTCATCGTATAAATCCCGGATTTAAATGCCGTACCACGATTTATACACATAAATCCCGTCAAAGTACCCCAAAATTGAGAAGGGTCCCTAAACATTTTTCTTATTACTATCTCAATCAGCAGATAAATGCTGAGTTATGTAATAAGACTACTGTAACAATAACAGCAGTTCACTATTATATTGTTATGTAATATACCATTCTCAGTTACAAAATAAAGTTTATTTTTTCCACATCAATTGTTTACATCAAATATTTAATATTAGAAGTCATACATCAAGTACTTTTACAACTAAGACTAGCTTTATGGAATCGATTGTCATACATCTGTTTTGCTTTTCTACAACCGCATTGGCCATCAGCATGTGTCTTTACAACCACACATTATCCGTCGAACGCAACCCACACTGTGCTTTGGGCTCTTGCTGTCTTTCTCAATGTTACTTTTTTTGTGTGGTATATTACCCAGGCCAGGAAACTCTGCTGCTTCCACTAATTCAAGTCATTTGCATCCATAATAACATTTTATTTCGATTAGGTAATGGTCATCCCTAATGTGTCAATTGATAGTGGAATAGGACAGTGACTATAGATTCAATTTGAAAGCCATTTTCCTTTTGAGAGAGGAACAAAAAAATAATTGTGGACATACATTTGATTATAGGCTGTAAGTTTCTGCTTCATTTTGTCAGAAAATCGTCAGCATTTTCATCTATATTAATAAATGCAATTGTATGGTACATATGATTGTTCTGTTTTGCATTCTTATTTATTAATATTACAACACATAGTATTTAGTTTGAATTGTTCTTTTATAACTATTGATCATATAACAACAAAGTTACCATATAATTTGAGATTTCTGTAACAATGGTCATACTAACAATGAGAATTAATTAATAATAGTAATAGGCCGTCAAGTTGTTTATTAAACATTATAACAAGAACATGACAATTATAGACAGTGATGATAATATTAAGTAACAATTTCCATGCAACATCAGAAAGCAGGGTAGGGATTCATATGATAACGGCTTTATATCTGAGCAAAATATTAATATGCTTGGTAGGAAAACACAAGGGTTACTGCTGTTATTGTTACAGTAGTCTTATTACATAACTCATAGCATTTATCTGCTAATTGAGATAAATTTTAGGGACCCTTCTCAATTTTGGGGTACTTTGACAGGATTTATATGATGATGGGATTTATGCACAACATATACAAAACCTAAATAAAAATGACTATACCTTCAAAGCTGCATCATATTGTGATACTCATTTGAAGTTGGTATCAATTCTGTAGAGTGTAGCAGAACATGGTCACCTGCAATTGCCATAATGACATGTCCTTGTATACAATCAATTCCTTCCCCAATTTTGATTCTGCTGTCTGGCACTCCTTTGCCCTTTGCCACTATATCTATGTATGTCTTGAGTTGTTTCACAGCACCTTCCATAACAGCACTCACAGTTGTCAACACTGGTTTCTTCAGGTCCTTTGAAAAATGCATGTACTTTCTGGTAAGTAGATACTGTTCATCCTCCTTGTGAATCTTATCTTTAAAATCTTCCAACTGCTTGTAACTATATGGCCTATTCCAATCTTCAGCCTCTCCACTCCATAGACCTCCCAAGGTGATGTACTTCAATTCCAGTATTATACCATGTGTACGTTTACCCACAGTTCCAGAAGGTTGTGGAGGGATGAACATGTCAACAAAGCCATTGCAACCTGCTCCATATTTCTTGGTGTCATCAACCACAAGCCAAAGCTCTGGCACATGCATGGTTGGTTTATCTAAAAGAAGCTCAACAATACCCTGGAGCACAGCCTCACTTGCTGTTTGCAGTGATTTCAGTGTTCTTGTCTGTAAGAAGGTCTTTAGAAGTGTGGCAAACTCAGCAACACTGCCATTGACAAGACTATCAAATGCTGGACCAATCAGATGCCTGATTTGATCAAGTGTGTACAGATAGCTGATAATATGTTCCAGGACCTAGATAAAATCAGTGTTATAGTTAGTGTATTGTTACACTGGGTGCTAAATTTTTAGGAGCAAGAAAAATACATACTAATACCTCAGTTTTTATAACATTATTGGGAATTCTCAGATGCCTTTCTCTTGGACCATGAGTAAGAAGGCCCAAATAAAGAAGAAGTGACCAAGTAAGGCTTCTGTCTTTTCCAAGACTGAGAAGATCAGTATGGCTGAATTCATTCACAGTCTTTGTTTCAACAGATCCAGAGAAGTAGACAACAATATATTTAATATTGTTGTCTACTTACACTAGACTGTTGCCTACTTATGAGTATACTGTTACCTAC